GTCTCGGAGTCCCCCAGGACGACGTGGAAAGTGTAGCTGGGGAGAGCGGGGTCGTGAATTTTGTTCGTATCTGAAAAAAATCTTAGAATACGAAAACATTGGTGAATACCACAAATTCTCCTAAATCACTCGTACGCACAACTTAAGAACAAATCTGTGCGTACGAACGGTTCTTGCATGAGGCCCATTGTTCAATATTTTACTGGCTAAAACTTGATGCGGCTTTAGACYTTTAATTAATCTGTTGTTAATTTTATCTGATGTTTTGCACATTTCAGCTTTTATCTGATGCTTTAGATAGTGTTTTCCTTTTTTAACATGCAGCTTTTGTGTTTTACAGCTTTTAGCTGTTTTAGCTTTTAGTGAAGGTTTTGCTCCATTTAACGCCTCGTTCAGCTTCTTACACAACTTTAGCAGAATCATTCAAAACTGTTGCTTTTTTCCTCCAGAAATGTATTTTTTCCTGTCAAATTAGTTTTGTTGATGGATTGTTTGTGAAAGATTTTACATCCTGTGCCTTCAAACGTCTCGGAGCTGACTTTAATATTGACATTCCTCCTACAGGAGAAGACAGAGCCGTATTTTATTGGGATTTTCTGCTTCGAGGCGGGGATCAAGCTCGTGGCCCTTGGGTTTGTTTTCCATAAAGGGGCCTATTTGAGGAACGGCTGGAATGTCATGGACTTCATAGTCGTCCTCAGTGGGTGAGTTTTCTGTTGTCTGCCTTTTACAGTTCAAATTTACTAATGAAGGATGTTTCTAAAGRAGCAAACTTGGCTAAAATTTGAGTTAAAGGCAATGAAATGTTAGAAGGAGCAACACAAGTGATAAAACAGAACAACTAGCTCGTCACTGGTTCATATTAAAGTTCTGACGGCTCATGTTCTGTATCCTATAGTTTGCCCATCATATAAAAAATAACAACTGAGGTATTCTTCTCTTAACACAAGTGAATGTTAGCCACAAACTCAGATTTACAGGATCCCAAATTTATGACATCAGAGCAGTTTCTGGGACAAATGAAAAGGATTAACCAATAAAAGAATCATTAGTGACTCACTGCCCTTTTAAATCCAATGATTACATAATAATATTACTTAATCATAGCCATTTTGAATCTACCAAATGAAATTATAAACTGTTGTCCTTTTTGTTGTTAAATATCTAATTAAGAAAACAAAGGTGACTTTCATGTTAATGAGTAGTTTCTAATTTGTAAATAGTTACATTCATGCCAGTTTATTATTTAACGAGTACCCATCAAATTAAACATTTTATTTTTATTTTGCAGCTTAACACGGAGTAAACTCCTATGATGGTTTCTTTTTGTAAAWTTTTCAAATTTGGTCACAAAATATTTTTAAATCCTTTTCCAAACTGGCGGGACATTAAATAAATCCCTTTAACCACACACCCACGTTTAGATAAGAATTCAAGCAACGGATCCAAGTTAGCAGGAAGCCTTGTTGATTTGATGATTTATTAGAATTGAATGAAGATTAAGTAAATTTTTGTCTCCTTTACCTCAAATTAAAGCATTTGGAGGCAAGCTTAGAATTTCAGATTGTGTTTGCGTATCACTGTGTGTGTGTGTTTGGAAGTATGTCAAACTTCACAATGAATTACAAACTTTACTGGCGTATGAGAGTGGGAACAGTTTTTAAATTAATACCCAGCTACTGATTCTTCAATTAATTTTGACAAAACTCATTTTTTAGTTTACCAGACTGCGGCCGGTGAAGCGAAAGATTAATTTCAGACACCGATTGTCGACCGGCGTCGGTGCGTTCATGCACGTGCTGCTGCTTGTGTTTAACGTTTATCAATGTTTCTCATACGGGCGCTGGCGCTGCCGTTTGAACGGGCGCGGTGGCAGACATGCTGATAATCCTCGTTGAATTGTTGACCTTAAGCATGCGCGTTCTTGCAGATGTATTCGCTTTTCCCTGCGCGCTACATACATGTACAAGACAAAATGACATGTACACAAAGAAAGAATAATGCTTGCACGGCACACTGAGGCTCAGGAGTTGATGATAGGTGGGTGGATAAGTGGATTGGCGGTTGCGCATAAAACCTGCTTGGGTTCGCCCCCAGGACCTCTGTGAATTAAATGGGAACG